CCTTTCCCCATCCATTTTCCTGCCCCTTTACCCTCTGAAATACCCACCTCATTACCTGCCCCCTCACCCCTCCCATTATTTGCCCCATTACCCCCAAAAATACCCCCCCTATTCCCCACCCCTTCATTCTCCCTATTCCCCACCCCTTTACCCTCCTCGTTACCCTCCTCGTTACCCGCCCCGTTACCCGCCCCTTTCCCCGCCCCATTACTCTCCCAAATACCCGCCCCGTTACCACCCCTTTTCCCTCAGCCATGGCCACGGCAGAGGGGACGTTGGGGACGTGGGTGCCGGGTGTCCCCAAGGACTGCAGCAGCGACGACGCTCACGCCATGGGTCGGGGCCCCTTGGCCATCCTACGCCAGGTACCAGTTACCGGGGTCCGTACCCCCCACCCCGACCTCTCACCATGTCCCCCCAAGCTCAGGACCCCCCCATTCTGTGGTGTCCCCCCAGGTGGTGGCCGCCTGTGCCTACCCCGAGCTGCTGGGTAACCCCACGGTGCCCGAGGGTGCCCGGCACCGGGCACGACGTGTCCTGGGGGAGATGGACGCCGGAAACATCGGTAGGGTCTGGCAGGCTGTGGGTCCTGTGGGGCTCTGGGTGGCCATGGGTCCTGAGGCTCTGGGTGGCCATGGGGACCCTTTGGAGCTCTGGAGCCACAGGTGGCCATGGGGACCTGTGGGGCTTTGGGATGATGAGTGGCCCATGGGGACCCATGGCTATCTGTGGGTCCTGTGGGGCTCTGGGGACCCATGGATGTCTGTGGGTCCTGAGGCTCTGGGTGGCCAAAGGGACCCTTTGGAGCTCTGGAGCTGTAGGTGGCCACAGGGACCTGTAGAGCTTTGGGCCAGTGGGTGGCCATGGGGACCCCTGGATATCTGTGGGTCCTGTGGGGCTCTGGGGACCCCTGGGTGTCTGTGGGTCCTGTGGGGCTCTGGGTGGCCATGGGTCCTGAGGCTCTGGGTGGCCATGGGGACCCTTTGGAGCTCTGGAGCCACAGGTGGCCATGGGGACCTGTGGGGCTTTGGGATGATGAGTGGCCCATGGGGACCCATGGCTATCTGTGGGTCCTGTGGGGCTCTGGGGACCCATGGATGTCTGTGGGTCCTGAGGCTCTGGGTGGCCAAAGGGACCCTTTGGAGCTCTGGAGCTGTAGGTGGCCACAGGGACCTGTAGAGCTTTGGGCCAGTGGGTGGCCATGGGGACCCATGGGTATCTGTGGGTCCCATGGGGCTCTGGGTGGCCATGGGGACGCCGTGGGGCTCTCACCTGGGCCAGCTCCTCCTCGATGGCAGCAGCCCTCTGGAGCAGGACCTGCAGAGGGGACGGAGACGTGTGCCAGCTGCTGGGATTCGCAGGAGATGGGGGGCAACCGGTGCCCCCCGAGGTGCCAACCGCCGCCATGGCCAAGGACGGAGCCGGAGCCGTGGGTCACGGTGGCCGTGGGGCAGGGAGGGGACCCGGGTTAATGGTTAGGGGCTCGGTGGTGCGTGACGTGGCACGGGGGGCAACCAGGGTCCTGGCCATGGGTCCATCCCCCGGCTCCGGCCACGTGACACGGGTGACACGGGGCCACCGCTGCGTGCCAGGGCACCCGGGAGTGAAGTCCAGTCCGTCCACCCCATTAATGCCCACCCCACACCCAGGGCATCACCCCCCACCCCC